TCACACGAACTAAAGACGGGCACCTTTGGTGTAGGTAGACAACAGAATAGCTCGTTCGATGCACCTGCAGCGATCGAATTAATGCGTACGTAGCTTATACACACGAAGATCGTGACACCAGGTTTAATCTTGTTACGCAGCTGGTGCGCACACATGAAAGCGACTCTGTGCGTTCAGGCGAATCAGTATGACGTGCTACCACGAATTTTATAATGCATTAATTGCGCATAGTCGTGGTGATTTATAATTGCGGTAGTATTAACTACAAGAATTTGTTTTAATTAGCACGATAAAGAGATATATTTCCTATTTCATTTATTATTTAAATGTTTTCATACATCAAGACCGCTAGCTCTTGCAAGAATTTCCATTCTCGAAAAATTGGATATTTTTAAAATTATTGTTGATTATATTCTGTTAATATTTAGACACGTGCATATTTTGAAATATTTGTTATTACAGCAGTATTTTAAGCAATTTTTTAACTTTAGCTAATAGCCAAAAAAGATTTTGTGTTGCTCGTCATTTTAATTTAAAAATCGATGACAGAGAAAAAACAATAGAATTATTTGTACGACAAAAGAGCGCTTTCATTTGAACGACTCGTATTATAACTGAATTGCAAAACGTCTGGAAGAAACCTTTAAAAAGGTTAATAGTCACGTATGTGTGTGTGTGTGTTGGACGTATTTTCGTTATTGAGTTATTTGTTCGAACATTCGATGTACATACATCACGATGACCGCATTTCGCTCGTTAAAATGAGTCCAATATAACCAATAAGTTTTTATCTCGCGTGGGAGGTATGATTATGCATTCACAACTTGAAACATACCTCATCATCTTATTTTACCGTGATTTCACCAGAGATTCAGTTGTATGATTATAGACTTATTTTAACTTTATACTTATAGCTTTTATAGTTATTCTATATGAATTTTTTTTCTGCAAATCTTAATTCTTTTAGTTCTTTAATTTTATATTATCAATTTTATTTAAATAATATATTAAATTATTATACGATACATAATCTCAGTATCAGTAAAACAAACAAGATTTATCTCTTGGAAAGATTAAAAGTACAAGTAAACGAGATTTATTTTATGGTTGCGTGTATAGATATATGTATATGTCATTAAATTATTGAGAAATTATACTGAGTCATGGAATAATCTATATTTTTGTTATTTTTGAGCTATATAAACTGCGTAAAAAATACACTACACTTGCTTGTAGTTGAAAAATTTATTAATCTGAATGCACGTCCATTGCAATCTCAAGAGAATTGCATGCCACAGAAATTCATCGAGTGAATATTTCGCTATTTTGAGGTACGCGGAATGCCACTTTCGTTCGCATAGAATACCAAGGCTGTTAGATCACGACTACGTTTGGCCTCCGGTTTTATTTCGGGCTATTTTGCGCGTTGACTGCGTTTCTCGTCCGAGTTATGCTAATTTGAAGACCCGATATGATATTAAATCAAGACGCTACAATCGCGTATATTCAGTTGTGGTATACAAAACACGTATATTTACACGTGCACATACAGATAACATTTTTGAACAGAAAAAGAAGAAAAAAGAAGCATGCAAAATCAAGAACTGTATTTATTATTTTATTTATTTTTTATTCAACACTGACGAAATTCTGAGAATTAGACGTACGTGGAATGATCGTTTCTTTGAAAAACCAGTTACGTATCGCGGCTACATGCGTTCTGTTTCCATTGCGAGAAAAGAGATGCGGGCTATTAAGCGACTAATCTTCCGCGGTTAATCTTGGACCATTTCGGACGGACGCGTTCTTTGGTGCGTTTTTTCTTCTGATTATAATTGGTCGTTATCCAATGACCTCTGATAAAGAGAACGGTAAATAAAACAAACAAAAGGAAAAGAGATTTTAGCAAGTGGAGAATCTTCTCTTGCGTAAATGGACTTTGGTTTTTATTGAAAATATTAAACGAAGACTTTAGCTATTAGTAGTATTATTGTGTTGTATCCGCGAATGTGAATAATGGTTGACTAATATTATTCACAAGAATGATGTTCACCTTTGTTCGAACTATATGACCGTACTTTAATTATTCGTTATTTATTATCCTTATTATGTCTTTTGTTATTCACACTGAGTTAGGTAAATACGTGCTATATATTCAAGCAAGGATTAGTAGCTATCTTACAATTAGAATAGTTCACGAAGAATTTTAAGTAATATCAACTTCTAAAAAACCATAATTTATTTAGACAGATAAAAATGAAATATACTAAATGATATTATAGTTTATAAAATTCCTCCCGGAATTTTACACCGTTATCACTTCGTGCGATCTAATGACTTGTAATAAAAGAACAGCAGGAGTAAGGAGAGTACAAGGCTAGACAGACCGCGAGAAAGAGTCTCCGCGAGAGGAGAGGATCTTCTTCCGAGCAAAATGTCAAGAAGCAGACGGTTAATTCTCAGCATTTACCAAGGCAGCAGTCTGACCCAACTATTCATTAGACGGGAGTGCGGGTTGTGTTCTCCTCTTGTGGCGTTTTCCTCTTCTCCATTGCTCGATACAAGAGAGGATGCGAAGAGGAGTGAGAGAGAGGAAGAGAGGGAGAAATTGTGCAACTTTGCTCGATTCACTTACCACGTCCTCTACAGAAACAAGACCCCGATCGAGCTACGAACATGTTACAGTGAACGGACGCGACGTGGCAAGCAGTACTTACATTGATTACCTTTTTGGCAAAGAGTCTCCAACAATCTACAATTTCTAACTTTACTAACCGATAGAGTTGTAATTTTGATCAAGATTCGATTGTTAAGTAAAAATTAGTTTAAACGGGATTTGTTTTCAATATTTTTTTACATTAATTCATATTCAGAGGTCAGATCTTTTAAGAAATCGCTTCGCTATCATATTACTTAGACAGCGTTAAAAATTTTACAAAATTAATCTTTATCGCAAGTAGTTCTTGAATACATTTTCTACTTTTTTTATTTCCTGCTCATTTCCTGCTTTTAAATCATTATTGAGGTCTGTTCAATCTTATATTAATTCTGTAAATTTAAATTAAATAAAACTGGTTGTAGGTTTTTATAGAAATTTTAATAATAATAATAATAATAATAACAATAATAACAACAACAACAATAGCTTTATTAAAGTAAGAAGAGATATATAGGTATGTTAGTAGAATACATGGAAACAAATATCTCTTCAGGATGAGAAAGAAAGAGAGAGAGAGAGAGAGAGAGAGAGAGAGAGAGAGAGAGAGAGAGAGAGATAGAGAGAGAGAGAGAGAGAGAGAGAGAGAGAGAGAGAGAGAGAGAGAGAGAGAGAGAGAAGCATCAACAACATAATTACTTATAAAGTTAAACCTTAATATAATATAATATAATTAAAATAAAGGATATAATACAGATATATAAAAAAGGCATGATCATAAACATAGAATTAATTTATTAAATGAAAATAGTAGTTGACAATGGATCAGTATAAAAATATTTGCAAGTTAGTGGTTGCGTGTAAAATGAACATAAGAAATTGAGAAAATGAAAAGAAGAAGATAACAAAGAAATATATCAAGCATATGCCAAAGTTAAAAATTAAAAAAAGTATTTATAAACATTATATAAACTTTATTATATAATTTTTCTTGTATAAGAACTTATAATTTGAAAAATTAGTTATCCGCAGAATTGTATTTTATATAAACTAGATAACGTACAGCGCGCTGTTATTTAACTTTTAATATTATATACTTACATAAAAAGTATAAAAATATTCAGCTACACAAGCACAGATAAATCATGACAATTTAATCTTTGTAAACTGTCAAAAACTTTGTGCTGACAGTTACTCTCGCAGTACAACATGAGTAAAATGACAATAATTAATTCGATTATTGATTTAAAACGCAAATTTTATGATAAAATTGTTATTCTATTATTTAATAATAAATATCTTTATATATACCAAAATATTACATGCATTTATCCTCATCACGGTTTCTTCTTTTTGTTTAATAAATTGGTATACCAATGAATCATAAAAAATGTTACTTTTGTTTGGCAATAATAAGTTTGGTAAATATACCAATTATTAACATTCTTAACAGCTGCTAATATCTTATTGTCTTAAGTATAAATTTATCTGACACTAATAACTACGAAGATTTAAGTAGACATTTTACTTGTATTAGATTATAGTTAGAGTTACAAAACTACTATACGTATACGAATGATTCTTTCGAAAACCGACATGATATTTTACCCTATAGTTTCTGATATTGTTTGTACTCCTCGAAAGTGTTCGTTAGGGAAGTATTATACGGACCAACGATCCGTATATTTTATTTTTCCTTAAAGCAAACCGTCAAACCGTGGTCAAACTAATTTCAACTTCTCGATATTTTGAAAACGTTGATTTTATTGGATTATTTTATTATAATAAAGTTCATATTCATTAAGTACCCATCAAATTATGTTGTTTAAAAATTAAATAATAGCATGTAACCCGTATCAACAATTATGACTGTGAACAATATTACAAATCACACACACACACACACACGCATTTTAATTTATTTTTTAAATCAATTATTTTAATTAATTATTAATATTCATAAAATTAATTTTAATATAATTTTAAAACTATTACAAGTGCACATAATATTATATATACTACTTTTGAACATGGCTGGAGACACTATACCGCATCTCCTAACATGTGTACTAGAATATGTTTGTATGTACTAGAAATTACAAGTGAAACGTATAAGTAATTTTTAGTATATATAAAAATTTGTAGCTCTAAAAACAAAACAAATAAGAAAAAAAATTCAATTTTTAATTAAAACGGATTCTGATGCTTGATAATATTCATACGCAAAATTGCAAAAATATTCTGCAGTTTTGTAAATGGTACGCATTTTAAAATATTGCAAAAAAAATAACAATAATTTATTTATTCACAATAATGTAATATATGTTATTATTTGAAATGATTTCTAAGACTTAGAAATTATTGTATTCACTGCTGCAGATTTCAATACAGAGTGCATATTTTTTCTACGCTGAATATTCAACCAGAACCCATTCTGCGGCAAAATTATGAAATCTTTGCAAAATTTTATTGGGGAAGCAGTTTTCGTAGAAGGCTTCAGATCACATCGTGCTAATAAGTGAAACAGCAAAACTTTGACTTTCAGCATGGCAAATCTGTTAGCTATGCACATTCTTGGTCCTAATCCAAATGGTATATAATACGAAGAATTCTGCATTTTGTTGTTTAAAAATCTTTCTGGATCAAATTTCTTCGGATTATTGTAATACTTTTCATCATGTTGAATTACAAAAGGCGAAATCCAAACAATCGTACCTTTTTTCAAGATAAAAGATTTCTCGTTCGGCAATGCGGGTGGTAATTCATAAGCTTTTTCGCATGTCCTTTCGTAGATAGGAACTGGTGGATATAATCTGAGTGCCTCGCTTATTACCGCATCTAAATAATCTAGCCGATTGATGGCTTCGTAAGTCACTTCTCCGTTCGATTCCTCCAGAACTTTGTCGATCTCTTGTTGTAATTTGGTTTGAACATTTGGGTTAGCTGCTATTTCGTGAGCTACAAAGGACATCGTAGTTGAACTGGTCTCAAAACCAGCGAGGAAAAAGACAAACGCTTGCGCAGTCATTTCGTCGATGTCTAGTTCTCTACGACCTTCTTTGCCTCTGATATCCATCATTAACTGCAGCATATCCGGACGTGTAATGTGTTCTGCATCACGAGTGGCAATGGTAGTCTTTATGATGTCCATGAAGAAATGCGACACATAATCATTCATAATCTTTATATTAAATATTCGTCCAAGTCTCGGAAAATTTCTTAAAAAAAGCAACTTTACAGCACGAATCCCTGTAAAGGTAGATATTTCATTACCGTTAACATAAAATTTGTTCGTTGGATCTTTCATAGAGTTTATCTTGATTCCAAAAGCACATGTAGCAATGACATCATTGGTATATTTAGAGAAAGCATCTTTTGTGTTTATACTTCCATTATCTGCTGGTAATGTCGATATAAATTTTGCAAAATCCACAGCACATTCTGACATCAATGTAAACATCATTTTTAGCTTGTTAGATGTAAAAAAGGGACTCAGCAGAGTTCTTACGTTCCGCCATTTTTCTCCATCAAGAGAAAATAAATTATTTTTAAATAAAGGTTCATTCAAATCAGAAAAACCTATACGATTTGGAAATGACTCAAAATTCTTAACAAAGATACTCTTAATGAGTTCCGGATCACGAAGAAAGAAGATTGGAGTTGTCATGAAGTAGAGACCAATATATTTTGCATTTGGTTTGAAATTATATATCTTCAGAAGGAAATCGGCGAATGATATTCGGTGAAATATAATCGACATTATGGATCCAAATATTGGAGCAGGCGATACATGTAGAATACCATGTCTTTTAAAGAAATTAAAATTTTTAAAAAGGTAATGAATACTTATTACACCGATCACTATAGATAACAGTATCAACCGATATTCCATGTTACTGGAAATTTTATTATTGATTCCTAAATATAAACTGTAACTGACTAAAGAGCGTATGCGATATAGCCGCCACGAATAGTTGCATATAACTGTTTGTACAACTTCCTCTGTTGTAATATATCAATAATCATTCTGACGCAAATGTTTTTGAATCAGCTTTTGTACTTTACTCGTTGCAAATTAATAAATCTTCGCTGTATTTGTTATATGTTCGCAAAAATATGTAGCGTACATATACAATATATGCATTTGTATAATGAATTGCTTATATAATCCGTAGAAGATAACTAAAGCTTACATAATCTTATTCACATTTGCAATATGTTATAAATTTACAATTTGAAGACGCATATATATATATAGGTATATAATTTTTGTTCTTAACGTTGTTATAATAGAATTATTTTTAAATGATAGGAAACACGATTTTGGAAATTAATCTTTGCTAAAATTAGTAATTGACATGATATAAAATAAAATAAAACGAAAAGAGAGATTAATTATGTATCAAAATATGTTGCTTCGAGTTCTTGTATAAATTATTATGTTGTATTGTATATTTAAAACTAATTTTATCAAAAGAAAACGTACTAACTTGACTAAAAATATTATATTTTTATTTGAAGTTTATATGAGAATAAAATTTTATAAAATCTTATAGATTATAAAATTATATTATATATAAATATAATTATATATTATATATAAATATAAATTTCTTCTTATTTTATTTTATCTTGCATTTTTTATGTATATGATTATCCATTACATTTATTATTATTATTATGTCGATTTGAAACGAATATTGTGAATAAAAGCATCAAAATTTACGTAATAACTTTACACAGTATGTCATTTATATCAATTTGATGAAACTGCATCGCGATAGCTTTAATTTGATATTTATAATTATATAGCTTATAATTTATTGCCGATACAAATATTTGGTTTTTTATTTTATCATTAGTTACAATAAATAATATAGAATAATTATATAATATTTACAATAAATCATATAGAATGATTACATAATTTTTTTATCGTAGATGTGTATGAAACTAATGAAATACACATAGTTATATTGCACTGAAGTATAATTTACATATATAAATATATGTTAACTATAGTCTCGAGTCGATTACGTAATGCATAATTATTAATTTATTATAAATGTATATTCTTATAAGTAAAATTTAAAACTATAAAAAAATAATTCAAATAAGAAAAAGAATCCTTTTTCGATCAAAACCGATTTCGAAAACGGTTTTTAATAATGGTTTTTAATAAATTTGATATTTGTAAATAATAATACGGTATGTGTTTGATAACAATTAGATAAAATATATATATATACTCAACTTCGGTATTATTATATATATATGTATATACAGGGTAAATTTTTTAACCTGAAACTTTCAAATATCTCGAAAACAAAATAGACAAAAATGTTTCAAATAAAAATGGAACGGTGTCGAGGAGAACACGTTTTAGTCACGTTGTTTTTTTCCTAAGTGGAGGCGCTAAAAAGATATGAAGGTCACCTCCACTTTTTTAAATGGAATTATGTAATTTTTTTTAGATAACGTGATTCCTCTAATTATTTTGCATATAAAAGTATTAAGGTACTATATTATACTATAATATCCACTACTGCTTGGTAATTCCTAATGATTCTCAATTAATGCTTTAAATAATTTCCTCAGCGGTTTACCCCTCGCACAATCGTGAGTTATAAATCTGGAAATAATATACAAAATTATGTTAATCGTTAATTCAATAACGATGCTAAAACACACTTTAAAACATTTCAAAGAACTGAAAACTATATAATATTTTTTGTAACAACTACATTATTATTATTTAAAATGTTTTCTCAAACTTACCTATTCATCACTACAAGATTCTAGCATAGGATGCACATCTTTTCTACGCTGAATATTTAACCAAAATCCATTCTCCGGAATTAGCATTCCATCTTTGGAAAATTTTATTGGGGAAGCAGTTTTCGTAGAAGGCTTCAGGTCACATCGTGCTAATAACTGAAACAGCAAAACTTTGGTTTCAAGCATGGCAAATCTGTTAGCTATGCACATTCTCGGTCCTAATCCAAACGGCATGTAACACGAAGAATTCTGCATTTTGTTGTCTAAAAATCTTTCTGGATCAAATTTCTCCGGATTATCGTAATACTTTCCATCACGTTGGATTGCGAAAACCGGAATCCAAACAGACATACCCTTTCTCAGGATAAAAGGTTTCTCGTTCGGCAATGCAGGTGGTAATTCATAAGTTTTTTTGCATGTCCTTTCTAAGGCGGAAACTGGTGGATATAATCTAAGAGTCTCATTTATCACCGCATCTAAATATTCGAGCCGATTAATGACTTCATAAGACACTTCTCCATTTGACTTCTGCAAAACCATGTCGATCTCTTGTTGCAATTTTGTTTGAATTTCTGAATTAGCTGCGATTTCGTGAGCTGCGAAGCACATTGCGGTTGAACTGGTCTCGAAACCACCGAGGAAAAAAATAAAGGCTTGCGCAGTCATGTCGTCGATGTCTAGTTCTCTACGACCTTCTTTACCTCTGATATCCATCATTAACTGTAGCATATCGGGACGTGTAATATGTTGTGCATCACGAGTCGTGATTGTAGTCTTTATTATATCTTTGAAGAAATGCGACACATCATCGTTTAAAATCTTTATATTGAGAATTTGACTGAGTTTTGGAAAACTTCCAAGAAAAAGAAACTTTAAACCGCGTACGATTCCTGTGAAGTTACTCGCCTCCTTGCCGTAAATATAGAATTTATTTGTTGGATCCTTTATGGAGTTGATTTTGATTCCAAATGCACATGTAGCGATGACGTCATTTGTGTATTTAGAGAAAATATCTTTCATGTTTATACTTTCTTCATTTGACGACGACGTCGATAAAAATTTTGCAAAATCCACAGCACATTCTGACATCAATATGAACATCATTTTCATCTTGCTAGATGTAAAAGAGGGACTCAACAAATTTCTCACGTTCCGCCATTTTTCTCCATGAAGAGAAAACAAATTTTTCTTGAATAAAGGATCATTTGAATTGAAAAGACCTTGACGATCTGGAAATGCTTCGAAATTTTTGACAAGAACGTTTTTAATAAGTTCCAAATCGCGGAGTAAAAATACTGGATTTGTCATGAAATAGAATCCATGATATTTCGAGTTTGGATTAAAATTGTATATCTTTAGGATAAAATTTACGAATGGTGTTCGACGAAATAGAAACGATATTATCAATTCGAATATTGTAACAGGTGATATGTGTATAATACCATGTCTTTTAAAGAAATTAAAATTTTTAATATAAAGGTAATGAATGCCGCTCATACCAATTACTATCGACAATAATATAGACCAGTATTCCATGGCACAGATAGATTTTATGAAAATTTCTACAATTTTATTGTAGATGCTTGATAAGATGTGACTCACTACAAAACACTAGCAACACTGTCGAGGCAAGTCGTAGCGTGGAACTACTGGTACAGTAGGTATTATCTCGTAATATACCAGTAATCGTTAGGAAACGAATGTTTTCAAATTACTTTATGCAGGGCTGGATTAAATATTTTGAGGCCCCGGGCCATTTCGTCGATGAGGCCCATGTAAGGACACTGATTTTTCCATAAAATGAAAAAGCAATAATAATAATTCATATATTCAAGTTTTTTAAAAATATTCGCTAATTTATTGCATTAATATTATGTTACACACAGCTCTGAAAAAATAATTTAGTAGGAAAAAAATTGTTAAATTGTTAATCGAAGACATTTAGAAACATTTTCGCCTCACTTTTTGTCATTCTATCTTTATTTAATGAACGATAAAGATTGAATGACGTAAACGGCATTAGTAGCATCTTCATGAACGCATGTTATGTAAGATATATTAATCAATGTTAGTACTTTGCTCGATTCTAATCAATAAATCTTTGTTGTGTATATTTTATATTTGTGCGTACATAGTGTGCACGTGCATACACACACAGTTAGATAAGCAAAATTATATTGCTTATGTAATACATAGAAAATATAAATGAAGAAACTTATAATATATTATCATATTTAATTTGCATGTCAAAGATTGAAGCATATAAATTCTTTATTTAACGTTGTAATTATAAGAATATTCCTAAATACAATAAAGCATTGTTAAAAAAATATTTCTTCTTGAAATTACCATTTCATCATATAAACCCAAATAAAATGAAAAATGGATGATATATGTAAATATACTATTTATAGACTTACTTTGGATAGGATATTGTCTACACTTCAAACGAATTTTATCGAAAGAAAACACACTCCAGGGCGCTCTTTATCATTCACGTCAAAAACATTGTTTTTAAATCTTCTAAACCAATCTGTGCAAGTTGTTTCTGATAGAGCATGCTTCCTATATAAGCCTCTACTAGCAAACGATGACTTTCAGCAGCAAATTTCTTGAGGTTAAAACAGAAAAGTAACGCTTCCCGCGAATACTCTTCTTTTGGTACGAAACCGGACATTTTTAACCCTAAACGTACCGAGATTTAATATATGCCTATTTGTATTGTAACCGGTCAAATGACCTGTTGCGATAAATAATGTTAGGCTACACGTGTTTATCAGATTTAACAAATAAAATTATAAATAAATGATGTAAATTAATTGTATAATATATATTTAATAGAAAAAGTCATGAAGTCAAATGTGAAAAAGCGATAATATTTCATGCGAATTTTCTAATCAAAAGTTTACAATCGGTCATTTGACCGGGTTATGGTACGTTTAGTGTTAACGCGATAAAAAATTGTGTTTTTTGCATCCGATTAAATGTTTTATACTAATTATTAAAGCCTATTGATAGTATTTTCATATACATAAGCAGTTACTTTCGGCCATGTTGAAACAGTACAAATACTGACCTTTCCCGGTCAACAGCGAGATTCAAGCACTTAATGTACTCGATAAGATGAATGCAACATATAGATATACACATAAATGCTACATGTTTGCATTTGTAACACAGTATATACAGGGTGCGTCAACTAAATTGGGATAAAATTAAATTCGAATTTTTCGTTATATATAACTTTAGCAGTAGATGATAAGTCCATGTAAGCCCACAACTTACGGTTAACTCTTAACCGATTTCTCATAAAAAAATAAATTGAATCTCAGGGTTAAGAATTAACCGTGAGTTGTGGAACTGCATCTAAGTCAGATGTTTATATACGTATGTATAAAATGTGTATAACCTCAAATCATCGTAGTTAGTAAGATCAAGTATGGAGTACAACCGAAGAGTGACGATAATTGAAGCGCTTCGTATCGGACGTACGCAGACTGAAATTATTCGGTTCTTCGGATACCCGCGATCGATCGTTTACATTTAAATCGCACAAAAATATGCAGACGCGGAGAAATGCGAACAAGATTCGGTGAGGCAGAATGTTCACGTCTTAAGAGTAGTCTTCAATGAGGATGACATCATGTCGTCTTATTTTTTTAAAATAGAAGAAGCCATAGCAAAGAGGTTTCTGAGAACTGTAATGAAGCTATGGATGAAAAATATAGCTTTCGGAAGGCCGTACATTTTTTAACAGGACGGCATATCTGCTCACACAAGCCATTTAATGCAAAATTGGCTTTCCGACAACGTGGACGCATTTTGGTCCAAGAAATTTTGGCCTCCCAATAGTTCAGATTTAAACCTCCTAGATTATTTCGTTAATGGCATTACTAAAAAGGTGTCTAACAATCCAAGCATCTTAACATAGTCTTCAAATCGCTATTGAGGCAGCATTCATGAATTTAGACAACGAGCTGTTAAAGAGAGTGTACTGACGCTTTAGGCAAAGAATAGAGGCAATGATCGCAGCAAATGGGGATTATATTGGGTATTAGAACTCAGAGAGAATTCCTTCAAGCGATGTACAAAAAATTTTTGTGTATTTTCAAGATTTTTCTGAATAAAATGGCGTTTTAATTTTTAATAAACTGTTAGTCTTTTGTTCGGATTTAGCTGACGTACCCTGTAAGCAGAATTGGGCACTATTCGAAAAATTTTTTATTTAGAATATTATTCAAATAGAATTTTATTTATTATTTGCATTATTTATTAATTATATTATTCGTTATTCGTACTATTCGTCATTGTATTATTGATCATTATTCGTTATTTGCATTGACATTATTTGTTATTCACATTGTTTTATTTTAAATTATATTGTTCCCAGTTCACGAGTCTTCCACGAGCCTTTTACATAGAAGATAAATGAGACTGCATTATTGTATTCATTTTGTAATTTAAAGACTATCTCATATGTACAGCGTGTCTCTAGAAAAAAGCACCGTTTAAAAAAACTCGAAATTTGTTGATTTCTGAGACATACAAAGATGTTAAAATCAACACAAAAATGTTAATTTTAAAATTTTTGCATGTCTCAGAAAATCTACTCAACGTCTTTGAATTAAAATTAACATTTTATATTTTACAGTGTAAATATGAAATTCATTCATTGGTATTAAAAACATTAGACGAGTAGAGGAATGATTGGTGGATTCCATAGTTTGTCTGTAAAAGACGCTAGCTTTGATACGTTTCTGGATATATTTGCGGTACTGACGGTCATGCTTTTCTTATATATATATCTAGAACTCTAATTTGTTATGTTATTTTCCTTCTAAGTAAAGATGCCAAAAAGGTATGAAGATCATCTTCTCTGATATGATAATATGTCAGACTCCTCTAATTATTCTACCATACATATAATACAATTAAAAAATATATAAATATACAAAAGACATATTCTAATAGACATATTCTACATGTACAAGTATTAAGGTGGAGATATTAGAAAACAAATAGTTTCCGAGTTACTATATATATATTTCTGATACATGTTGATATAAATATTAAACAATAAAATCTTATAAAACCGTGAGGATTTAAACTAATAAAAAAACGGTTCATAATGGTTAAGTTGAATCTTCTATGTAATTGCACATAAACTTATATACTATGTATGTAAATTTTTAATTGGATGCTAAATTTTTTTTATTTAAAAAAACGTAAGCTTTACTAAACTACCGTTGTAAGATCACAAGTTAAATTGACCACCAATTTAACAATTTTTTGCTCTTTACGTATCTTAGATCGATCTTAATAATGTTGAACGACATATTAAAATCTGTAAAAAATTAATATTTATTACGAAAAATTTTTATTTTTATTTATAAGTAAATGTAAACTATGACACACGTTGTGAACAGAAAATGATAATTTTTAAGAATTAGAAATTAAGAGATTCATAAAAATATTTCTTTACACACACAACATATACTATATATTTTAATTAGTTCACATAACTGCACTGAAAAACAATTACTATATTTTAATAAATATTTCTCTGAATATTTGTAAGTGAACATTTATTTTTGATAAATGAAAATTTAGTTAATGAAGAAAAATGATATTTAAATTAACTAAATGGTTTTGGTTTATATAAATATATGTCAATGCAGTAAATGTTACAAGTATTCAAAAAAATATTTACTAACATGAGTTTTTTTTAGTGCAACTTATGCAGTAATGCAAATAGTAAAAATTATCGAAAAAGGTTTAATTATTATTATTAACTTAAAGTACATATATATATATTTTGTGTATTCGTGCACTTTATATATATACGTGAGTATTATATAAATAATGTGATTGTTTTGGAACAAACAATAACTAATTCTGAAAATAATGTAATATGTATTATATCGTATCATTTTTTTAACATAAAATAACTAATATAGTTTCAAAATCGAAAAATTGTTCGGCGCATGTTTTGAAAAACTGCATACGTAATATATAACTTTATACGGAACTATTATTTTAACAATATAATAGCACTTAAGATCCAGCTCGAATTAACGGCAATTTCTTATTAATTGTGTTTCTCACATGTACGGTCCTATAAGATTTATTAGTATTTAAATATTGTTAAAATAACTAAGTTTGTTCATATATAAAAAATTTTAATAAAATGTAATTATTTTTTATAAGTGGAATTTAGAACAATAAGAAATAAATCAATTCATTGAGAGAAAGAAATTTCTTTTTCAGTTGAAACGGATTTTGGCAATAACGATTGATCAGGCTCATATTTGCAAATAATACAATCCTTTATAAAATTACATTTGCAAATTACTCTCTCTCTCACACACACACATGCACGCTCGCACACAGTTCGAAATTATAAATACATTATACAATTTTATAAACTGTGCATCCATGCGGTTTGTCAGACTTGAAAAAAAATCAAGAAAATGGACATAACAATACACATTACAATAAAAGTCAATTTAATAATGATGATAAAAATGATCTTTGAAACACTCCAAAGAACCGATAACTGTATTTATTTTTAATTATAGCTGCATTATTATTATTGGAAATGTTTACTGAGGCTTAGTTATTCAATATAGTAGACTCCAAAATAGGATGTATACTTTTTCTACGCTGAATATTTAACCAGAATCCATCTTCTGGCATTATTACAAAATCTTTGGAGAATTTCATTGGTGACATAGTTTTCACAGATGGTTTTAGTTCACATCGCGCTAATAAATTAAACAACAAAACTTTAATCTCCAACATGGAAAATCTATTAGCTATGCACATTCTTGGTCCTAATCCGAATGGCATATAACTCGAAGAATTGTGCATCTTGTTGTTTAAAAATCTTTCTGGGTCAAATTTGTCCGGATTATCGTAATATTTTTCATCACGATGGATTGCAAGAACAGGAATCCAAACAAGCATACCTTTCTTCATGATAAAAGGTTTCTCGTTCGGTAATGCAGGTGGTAACTCAAAAGTTTTTTCGCACATCCTTTCTAAGACCATGGTTGCTGGATATAACCTAAGAGTTTCATTTATCACCGCATCTAAATATTCGAGCCGATTAATAACTTCATAAGATACTTCTCCATTCGACTCTTGCAAAACGTTGTCAATTTCTTGTTGTAATTTGGTCTGAATTTCTGGATTAGCTGCAATTTCGTGAGCAGCGAAGCACATTGTATTTGAATTGGTCTCGAAACCACCAATGTAAAAGATGAGCGCTTGTGCAGTCATGTCGTCGATTTCTAGTTCTCTTTGACCTTCTTTGCCTCTAATATCCATCATTAACTGCAACATATCCGGACGTTTAATTTGTTCTGCATCACGAGTGGCGATTGTAGTCTTCATAACGTTCTTAAAGAATTGCGACACATTATGGTTCACAAACTTTATATTTAAAATTTGTCCGAGTCTGGGAAAAGCTGCAAGAATAAAAAACTTTATCCCTCCAAAGTTACTTAATTCCTTGCCATAAATATAAAACTTATTCGTTGGATCCTTCATTGAATCGATTTTGATTCCGTAAGCACATGTGACGATGACATCATTGGTATATTTAGAGAAAACATCTTTCATATTTACACTCCCTTTATTCGTTGGCAATATTGATTTCATAAAATCTTTTGCACATTCCGACATCAACGTGAACATCATTTTCATCTTACTACACGTAAAAGATGGACTTAACAGAGTTCTTACGTTCCTCCATTTTTCTCCATGAAGAGAAAACAAATTTTTTTTAAATAAAAGATCATTCAATTCAGTAAAACCATTACGATTTGGAAATGACTCAAAATTCTTAATTAAGATATTCTTGATGAGTTCTGGATCGCGAATCATGAGGATTGGAGTCATCATTACGTAGAATCCAACATACTTTGCATTCAGATTAAAATTGTATATCTTTAATATAAAATCGAAGAATGACATTCGACGAAATGTAAACGAAATCACTGATCCTAATATTGGAATAGGTGATAAATGTATAATATTATGTCTCTTAAAGAAATTTAAATTTTTAAAAAGGTAGTGAATACTGATCACACTAATCACTATTAATAAAAATATTGTCCAATATTCCATAATAAAAATTTTATTAAAAAGTTTCTCTAGAATTCGTTACAAATGTTTTTAACGACTTAGCGATATTATCGTCACGAATTACGATAAACAACTGTGTTCTCAGAGTAATTTCTTATCTCATTATATATTATATTTTCTGACGTAACAGATTTTTTTGAGATGCAAATGTTTTTAAACAAACATATAAGATGGATGATTTATATGTATGTACCGGAATATAGATAAGTCCGATTAGATGAATGCAGCATAAATTGTTATATATGTACTATATGTTTGCATATATGTAGCACTTTTTTTTATTTGTATATAGAATTAAATTGCTGATGTAATACTCTTTATAACTTAGAACATAAATGAAGACGACATACATTAAGCGTTTCTAGTTTTAAACAATCACATTACTTAAATAATACTGACGTATTTTGTGTGTGTGTGTGTGTGTGTGTGTGTGTGTGTGTGTATTCGTACTTTAAGTTAACAATAATAATTCAAACTTATTTGATAATTTTTATTATTTATATTTACTGTATAAATTTCACTGAAAAAAAACTTATCTTAGTAAATATTTTTTCGAATACTGGTAATATTTACTGCAATGACATATATTTATTTAAACAAAAATCATTAAGTTAATTTAAATATCATTTTTCTTCATTGAGAAAATATTTATTTACTGTAAGTAAATGTTAACTTACTAACATTTAAAAAGATATTTATTAAAATGTATTAATTGTTTTTCAGTGAATAAGTTATGTGAATTGTAATCAAAATATTACGTAAAGAATATTTTTATGGATATAAATTTCTCTTAATTTCTAACTCTTAAAAATTATCATTTTCTGTTCACAACGTGTGTCATGGTATACATTTATTTATAAATAAAAATAAAAATTTTTCGTTATAAATGTTAATTATTTACAAATTTTAATATGTTGTTCAACATTATAAAGATCGATCTAAGATGCGTAAAGGGCATCAAGATAAATTACTGATAAATTTAACTGGCGATCTTACTGCGGTAGAGTTTGCGTTTCCAAAAAATTGTTCGGTGCGCAGTTTAAAAGGGCTACGTACATAGTATATAAATTTATATGAACTTATACACGCACCTAAGATCCAGTTAGATCGTTAAAACTTTGTTTCTTAGTGGTCGTGTTTTTCACATGTACTATGAGATTTAATATTTAATATTAAAAATACGAATATTGATTTACATATAATAAATAAAGAAATTAAAATATATATTAATTAACCTCTACGCGAGCAATTACGTTAAAAAAAATCACAAATGTTTAATCGTAAAAGAAAAATATCCTGTAGCCTATACTCATAAATTATCATGTGTGTTTTTATTTTTTATTTCCAAACGAAGTCAGTATTATTGAATTATAAAAAAAATTTGTATAAAGAAATCAAATTCGATCGTATAAATAAATTAAAATTGTTATAATCTGTCCTGATTTAATTTTTATAAAATCATATTTTAACAATTTCCAAGAGATTAATTATTAATCCAAAAAAGTGAAACATTTATACCAATCTGTAATTAATTTTATTTGATAAGTATATTGGTAGTTATTCAAGTTTCATCGCCTTTTATAAATAAAAGGAATTTACGCACTAACAACTGCAGGAGTTCATATAGGCGTTTTATTTGTATTGAAATTATTTATAAGGTTATAAAGCTATTAACTCATTAATGAATTATTAACATTCGTAATAAATAATTTTAATATAATGTCTTTGATACTTCCATGAATATTATCTTTGAAAATATCAGAAGGATTATCTCTCTCGCCGTGTTTTTATCCATCAGTAATGAAATAATCTTACTATATAATGTTTATTTCTTTATATATATATATATATATTATTCCATAAAATACCATATATAATGTGAACACTTCGCTAAAGATGCATGTGTAATTTTAATTATAAAAATAATTTTTAATGAAAAGTTTAATTTTTTTTGTAGGTGGAATTTTTAAAACAATAGGAATAACTCATTAAATCAATGAGAGAAAAGAATTTCTTATTCAGTCGAAATGGATTTCGACAATGTCATATTTTATAATACTCACATTTGTAAATAACACATTCCTCGATAATATGTTACCTTTTGCAAATTTAAAGTTCAAATTTTGTAAGTACATCATTCAGTTCTGTAAACTGTGCATCTACATGGTTTATCATACTTGGATTAACATCAGGAAACTGGAAATAACAATATACATTACAGTAATGGTCAATCTAATAATGATGGTAAAAATGAACTTTAAAACACTCCAAAGAACATAACTGAAATTTTTTTTTAATTTTAGCGGCATTATTACCATTGAAATGTTCTTTAAGACTTAGTTATCCATTATAGTATACTTCAAAAATTAAAATATAATGCATATTTTTTCTGCGCTCAATATTCAATCAGAATCCATTCTTCGACATCATTACTAGATCGTTGGATAATTTTATTGATTATAAAGTTTTGACAGATGGTTTCAGTTTACATCGGACTAATAAATGAAATAACTTTGACCTCCAACGTGTCAAATCTAATGAATTTAAATATTTTATTTGATAATATGAAATATCTTACGTTACAATATCCTAATTTACAATATCACTATGACTACGTTTACAAAAGGATCTGTGAGTTCCGAACCGTTTGATATATATATTTCTTTTTTATGTTGTTTCTTAGTGGCTACGTTTACACCGTGCGCTTAGTCCGCGACATATACGATAAGTGTCTTTATTTAACCTAAGGATAAATAAGAACACCTATCGTATAGGCCGCGGCCTAAATGCACGGTGTAAACGTAGCCACTAAGAAACAACATAAAAAAGAAATATAATATATCAAACGTTTCGGAACTCACAGATCCTTTTTCAACGATCCATGAAGATGATTCGATGTCAACGAGATAAACGCATAATCTTACGGTCACAGTGAACATGGAGTGGTATGGTGTGACAATTTGTTTCAAGAGAAATGATCTCCTGTTTTTGTGTAGTGAATGTGGAAATTGTATAAAATGTATGAAAACAGGAGCTCCATAACTTATTCGTCTGATTCTGTTAATCACAATTGTAACACTTGCGCTTAATAGAATCAGACGAATAAGTAATGAGGCTTCTGTGCAGTCAATATTTGCAAATAACAGTTTAAAATTTGTAAATATATTCAGTTCTATAAATAGCACGCGAATGCAGTTTGTCAGACATAAAACTATCATAAATTAAAGTTGGAAATATTGTAACGCATTACAGTAATTGTCATTTTAATAATAATGATAAAAATAAATTTTAAAGCACTCTCTTCAAAGAAATGTTAACTGCAATTTTTTAAATTAACTGCATTATTACATTTGAAATGCTTTCTTAAGCTTAATTATTAATTACTGAAGACTCCAGTACAGAATGCATATTTTTTCTACTCTGAATATTCAACCAGAATCCATTTTCTGGAATTATCATTAGATCTTTGCAGAATTTTATTGGTGACGTAGTCTTCACAGATGGTTTCAGTTCACATCGCGCTAATAAATGAAACAACAAAACTTTAACCTCCAACATGGCAAATCTATTAGCTATGCACATTCTTGGTCCTAATCCGAATGGCATATAACTCGAAGAATTGTGCATCTTGTTGTTTAAAAATCTTTCTGGGTCAAATTTGTCCGGATTATCGTAATACTTTTCATCACGTTGGATTGCAAGAACAGGAATCCAAACAAGCATACCTTTCTTCATGATAAAAGGTTTCTCGTCCGGTAATGCGGGTGGTAACTCAAAAGTTTTTTCACATATCCTTTCTAAGGCGGCAGCTGGTGGATATAACCTAAGAGCTTCACTTATCACCGCATCCAAATATTCAAGTCGATTAATAGCTTCGTAAGATACTTCGCCGTTCGACTCCTCCAAAACTTTATCGATCTCTTGTTGTAATTTGATCTGAATTTCAGGATTAGCTGCAATTTCGTGAGCTGCAAAGCACATTGCGGTTGAAGTCGTTTCGAAACCACCGAGAAAAAAGATGAATGCTTGTGCAGTCATGTCGTCGATGTCTAGTTCTCTACGACCCTCTTTGCCTCTAATATCCATCATTAATTGTAGCATATCCGGACGTGTAATGTGTTTTGCATCACGAGTCGCAATTGTGGTCTTTATAATGTCTTTGAAGAAATCCGACACGTAATTGTTCATTATTTTTAAATTAAGAAATCGTCCAAGTTTTGGAAACGTTCCAACAAAAAAGAATTTTATACCGCGAATGACCCCTCTAAAGTTACTCGCCTCCTTGCCGTAAATGTAGAATTTGTTCGTTGGATCTTTCATAGAGTTGATCTTAATTCCGAAAGCACATGTGGCGATAACGTCAGTCGTATATTTAGAGCAGATGTCTTTCATATTTATATCGCCTTTATCCACTAATGATGTTGACAGAAATTTCGCAAAATCCACAGCACATTCAGACATCAACGTGAACATCATTTTCATCTTACTAGAAGTAAAAGATGGACTTAGTAGATTTCTCACGTTCCGCCATTTTTCTCCGTGAAGAGAAAACAAATTTTTCTCAAATAAAGGATCGTTAAAGTCAGCAAAACCACGACGATCTGGAAATGCCTCGAAATTTTTGACAAGAACAGTTTTAATGAGTTCCAGATCGCGAAGGAAGAAAACTGGATTTGTAATAAAGTACATTCCAAAATATTTTGCGTTTGGATTGAAATTGTACATCTTCAGTAAGAAATCGAAGAATGATGTTCGACGAAATATAATTGATATCGAGGATCCGAATAATGGAAGAGGCGGTATGTGTATAATTCCATTTCTTTTAAAGAAATTAAAATTTTTGAAAAGATAATGAATGCTTATCACGCCGATGACTATCGATAATAGTATCGACCAATATTCCATGGCACAAATAGATGTTATTATATAATAAATTCTTCCTATAATTTCTTTGTAAACGTTTGATAAAATGTGACGAACTATACATAGAGCACTAACGATACTGTTGGCACGAGTCGTTGCATACTACTGATCGTCACAGCAGTTCCTACCTCGTAATATACTAGTAATCGTTGTGAGGTAAATACTTTCAAGCTACACTATGGGTGTGTTTGAAATGACTCTATCAGCACTATTTTGTCATTCTATCCTCGTTTTACGTTTAATGGACGATAAAGGTAAAATGACACAAATAGCACTAGAAGCGTTTCCTCGAACGTATATACCTTATGTAAGATCAATCAGTGATGTAATTTTGCTCAATGCAAATCAATTAATCATTGTTGTGCATGTTGTATATTTGCACATATGTAACACACACATACACACACACACACACATACACACACACACACACACTACATATATCAAGTTAAATTGTTTTTTTAATTCGTAGAAAATTTATGAAGTAGCTAATACTGATCATATTAAATGTGCCATTTAAAGACGGAAGCGTATACTTATATCAATTTTATATTTAATGTTATTTTATTATTCAATTATTTTTGATAGAAATATAAAGCGGTGTTTGAATATATATTTTTTACTGATATCAATATTTCATAATGCATTGAATAAGATAAAAAATAAATAATATGTATAATAAAAGTATGTTGCTTTGGATTTACTTTACAAATTATTGCATTGTGTATATTAAACATCAATTTTATAAAAAAATAATGTATCGATTCTATAAGAAGTGTTATGTTTTAATTTGAGAAATAATGAAAACTTTCAGTTTATATGAGAATGAAATTTTATATATAACCTTGTATTTTAAAAGAAGCATCATTATACGTATAATCATGTATAAATGTAATATTATTCTATTTTATTTTATGTTTTTAATCTTTATGTTTGCATTTATTTTCATTACTGTTTGTTGAAATGGATAATGATATCATGATATTTAGATATATGTATAACAAACAAGCCATTGATTTTTTTGATAAAACTGCGTCACACGTTTCAATTGGATATCTCAAATGTCTATTCTTTTATATACTGTTCATACTAATACTTCATCGTTGACTTTATCAATACTGAAATGACAAATTATGTGTAGAATGATTGTACAATTTCTCATAGACGTGTATAGAGCTAATAAAATTCATGTACATGTATATTGCATCGAAATATAAGTATGTGTTAACTGGTCGTCAGCAGATTATGTAATATATACATGAAGTATATATGTCAGAGCGTACAAAAAGAAGTTCTTTAAATATGCTGCTGATAGCATACCTATCTGGTGATTGATATCTTGATATCTATTATCATCAGTAGTTTTTACTGATTTTTGATATAATCTCATTATAATTCTTAATTTTGTAATTTTCACTTTTTTATTTATATCTTTGATTCTATCATGATAAAGTTAGCAATTATTTTGACCTTGGTTCCCATTACATCATACTGATGAGAATATATCATTCTAACAATCATGCGATTGACTCGATTACTTGACAAAGATTGCACTCAAGAAGAGAAGTTGAAAACAAATCTGTCATAACACATGTTAAAGTGAACAAGTACCTTATGTACAGTTGTATCATTTTCGTATACTGTATTGAAAAATTTATTTAAAAAATATTATTATTAATACGTATATAATCGAATATATGGCATATAAATATCTAGTGTTTACCTGTGTTTAGTTAGAAAAATAGTTTTGAAATAGAAAATTTATATTTACAGTGTAGGGAAAAATGAAATAGATTCAATAGAAATATGCTTTTAGAAAATGTGTCCATAAAAATATAATTTGAAACAACTTTTTGCGTAGTAAATATTTTGGCCTTCAATGTTTTTGAGGGCCAACGCGAAATTCGGTCTGCCGCGGCATATTGTCGCGGTCCCCACTACAGAACTCGTCATTGCAAGGCATTGTAGTGGGAGCTTATCTTAAAAGCCCGTGTTACACTACGGACTGTGGACGCGGATCGGACTGAGGTTGCGGATCGAGCATTGGAATTCATCCAATCAAAGCAAAGCAGATTTATTTTAATTGGCGCATTCCGATGTGCGATCCGCATCCACAGTCCGTAGCGTGACACGGGCTTTAGACGCCTGGGAGATTTAGATCGAGGTTTTACATAAAGAGTATTTCGTGTGTCTCGAATACTTGCGAGAATTGGCGCGTGTCCTGTTGGACCTCTGGTGGTGAGTCGCCACAATATGCGAAAGTACTTATTACAATATTTACGTCAACATTTATTGAAGTAAGGAGTCTATTTATATTGAATTTATTCTTGGAGTGATACAATACTATTAACTTATAAATTAAATATTAACATTTGAAATAAATAATTTTAATATATATATAATGTCGATTTCATTATTATTTCATATGGAACGATAATACATATTAAATATACCGATATATATGTAATTTCTATTACAAAAGTATAATATTTATTAAAACAAATTTTTTTCAAGAATTTATATCGATAAAAATAAATTAAATAAGAGGGAGAATTCTTTTTTGGTCGAAATGAATCATTACAATGTTTCATAATACTTGTTCGTACATAACACAGTTCATCCTGTAATGTTAATATTAGCAAATCACAATGGATTTTTTGTAAATACATTATGTAGTTTAATCAGAGCTGGGCATGTATTTAAAATATTTATTTGAAAATAGTATTATAAAGATAATTGTGTATCATGTATTTTCAGCGGAGTACATGAAAATATTCTGTATTTTATATTTTATGAAAGTATATAAAGGTATTTTATATTTTGTATTTCAGTATTAATAATAAAAAATTGAATGTGTTTTGTATTTTGTATTTTAAATACTAAGATTGATGATTAATGTTATTATTTACATTATGAAATACATAAACATTTCGATCTTCTAATTTTAAATACAAAATACGTAATACTTTCATGTACACTGCTGAAATATAAAATATAAAATCTGCTTTTATTGCGAAACTGTGTTTTAAATAAAAGTATTTTAAATCCCCAGCCCTGAGTTTAATTTTAAATTATACGCTGACGCGGTTTATCAGACTTGAAGCATCATCATGAGCTTGGAAATAACATTATACATTACAATAATTGATAATATAATAATGATGATAAAAATGAACTTAAAAACACTCCAAAGAACTGATAATTGTAATTTTTTAAAATAATAGGTGTATTATTACCATTTGAAATGTCTTTTATTAGCTTTCCATTAGTTCAGACTCCATAGCAGGATGCATGTTTTTCCTACGCTGAACATTCAACCAGAAACCATTTTCCGGTATTAACATGAAATCTTTGACAAATTTTAATGGGGATGTAGTTTTTGCAGAAGGTTTCAGCTCACATCGTGCTAATAAGTGAAACAGCAAGACTTTGACTTCCAGCAATGCAAACCTGTTAGCTATGCACATTCTCGGTCCTAATCCGAATGGCATATAACTCGAAGAATTGTGCATCTTGTTGTTTAAAAATCTTTCTGGGTCAAATTTGTCCGGATTATCGTAATATTTTTCATCACGATGAATTCCAAGAACAGGAATCCAAACAAGCATACCTTTCTTCATTATAAAAGGTTTCTCGTCCGGTAATGCGGGTGGTAACTCAAAAGTTTTTTCGCATTTCCTTTCTAAAGCTGGAAGTGGTGGATATAATCTAAGAGCCTCACATATCACCGCATCTAAATATTCAAGTCGATTAATAGATTCGTAAGATACATCTCCATTCGACTTTTGCAAAACGTCGTCGATCTCTTGTTGTAATTTAGTCTGAATTTCTGGATTAGCTGCAATTTCATGAGCTGCGAAGCACATTACGGTTGAGCTGGTCTCAAAACCACCAAGGAAAAAAATGAACGCTTGCGCAGTCATATCGTCGATGTCTAGATCTCTACGACCTTCTTTGCCTCTAATATCCATCATTAACTGTAACATATCCGGACGTGTAATGTGTTCTGCGTCACGAGTGGCGATTGTAGTTCTTATAATGTTTGTAAAGAAATTTGACACATCATCATTCATTAATTTGATTTTAAAAATTCGCCCTAGTCTTGGAAACGTTCCAACAAAAAAGAACTTTAGAGCGCGAATGGCCCCTCCAAAGTTAGTCGCCTCCTTGCCGTAAATATAGAATTTATTCGTTGGATCCTTCATAGAGTTGACTTTAATTCCAAATGCACATGTAGCGATGACATCATTCGTATATCTAGAGCAGACATCTTTCATGTTTATACTGCCTTTATCCGCTGATGTCGATATAGATTTTGCAAAATCCACAGCACATTCAGACATCAACGTGAACATCATTTTCATTTTACTAGAAGTAAAAGAAGGACTTAGCAGATTTCTCACGTGTCGCCATTTTTCCCCGTGAAGAGAAAACAAATTTTTCTGAGATAAAGAATCGTTGAAATCGGTGAAACCACGACGATCTGGAAATGCTTCGAAATTTTTGACGAGAACAGTCTTAATGAGTTCCAGATCGCGAAGGAAGAAGACTGGAGTTGTCGTGAAGAATAGTCCATAATACTTTGCGTTTGGATTGAAATTGTATATCTTCAACATGAAGTCATAAAATGATATTCGTCGAAGTACAACCGACGTCGTGGATCCAAGTAATGGAACAGACGGCACTTGTATAATACCATTTCTTGTAAAGAAATTAAAATTTTTGAAAAGATAATGAATGCTGATCACACCGATGACTACCGATAATAATATCGACCAATATTCCATGGCACAAATAGATGTTATTACAAATTCTTCCTATAATTCTTTGTCAATGTTTGATAAAATGTGACGTATCATGTATAAGGCACTAGCGATGCCGCTAACACGAGCGATCGCATACAACTGCTTGTCACAGCAGCTTCTACTTCGTAATACCATATACTATATAGTAATCGTTGTGAGGTAAATGCTGTTAAGTTACGTCATGGTCTGTTCGGGATGATTCTGTCAGCGCTATTTGTACATTCTATCTTTGTTTTACGTCTAATGGGCGATAAAGATAGAATGACACAAATAGCGCTAGTATGATCGATACCTCGAACGCACCTTATGTAAGATAAGTCGGTGTTGATACTTCGCATGATGCAAATCAATGAATCATCGTTGTATGCGCTGTACATTTACACTTATATCGATATATAAGATTAAATTACTTTTGTACTCCGTAAAAACTAAACAATAAAGTTTTCATAATATATTGAATGTGCAGTTTAAAGTCTAAAGTATATGCCTAAATAAATTTTGTATATAATGTCTTATTTTACGATTATTTTTAAAAGATATACAAAACGTTGTTCAAAAAGTATATAAAATGTATTAAGAAAGTATATAAAATGAAGAATAAATAATTTATAATTTATGAAAGTGTTATGTTGCTTCGGATTTACTTTTCAAATTATTATATTGTATAATATATGTTGAACATCACTTAAAAAAAAAGATGTATCAATTCTATTGGAAATATTGTTTTAATTTGGCAAGTAATGAGAAGTTATTCAATTTGTGCGTGAGTGTGCGTGCGTGCCTATGTGTGTGTGTGAGAATAAAAAGTTTCAGAAAATTTTATATTTTGCAAAGTATCATGATATCGTGTATAGACATAAAACTTCATTTATCTTATATTTCTTATCTTTATGTTTCTTTGCCGTATCTATATTTCATTATTGTTCATTGATATGTAATGAAAGGTTTTGAAAATTTTAGTATACATTGAATATATCACTGATAAATTTGGTAAAACTATGCCACTATGTTCAATTCGATATGCCAAATGATTTTTCTCATTATTTATTGTTATTATAAATTATTAATGACTTTATTAATATTACACCGGCGTCTAAGGTAGGTTTCCATTACAATGCATTACTGATGAGTCCAGTAGTGGAAACCGGGACGAAACGCCAACTTGTGATATTCTTCGCAAATCTTATTTTTTACAGATTTTAATTTAATTTATCATTACTTTAATAATACATCCTTAAATTTTAATATATGTCTTTCAACATATTATTAAGATCCAATAAGATGCTATAAGCATCAAATTGTTAGATTGCTTGTCAATTTAACCTAGTGATATTATTGCGGTATAGTGAATATGTATGCGTCAATGCTGAAAATCTATCAGCGTCGCGGGGGGGACTACATACGCAGTATATAAAATTCACATTATTATAATAAGCACTGTGATCCAGCTTCGACCGTTATAGGCTTTCTTCTTCTAATTTGTTTATTAATATTGAAATGACATATTATGTAATATAGAATAATATATAGAAATCGAGGAAAGTGTAATGTGTAAAGCCTAATCGAGTCTTGAAAACAAGATGTTAATGTTTATTATATTGTGTGAAATTTATATACTGCGTATGTAGTCCCCCCGCGACGCTGATGGATTTTCAGCATTGACGCATACATATTCACTACCGCAGTAATATCACTTTAGTTAAATTGAGAATCAATTTAACCACTTTTTGATGCCTATAGCATCTTATTAGATCTTAATAATATGTTGGAAGACATATATTAAAATTTAATAATAAATTAATAATTTAAACTCAGAGAAGCTGAGATTGTGAAGAATATCACGAGTTGGCGTTTCGTCCCGGCTTCCACTACTGGACTCATCAGTAAGGTAATGTAGTGGGAGCCTACCTTAGACGCCTGGAAAGATGTTAGAAAGAAGTTCTATATAAA